GACTGTAGCTGGCTTGGGAGTCCAAGGCTGGCATCCAAATTCCTTTCCTGGAGTGCGCTTGAGAGACAAAAGGAAACTTTCCCCTAAGTAGAGTTTGAGAACTTGCCCACAGGAATCTTAGCCTTGCATTTGCTAGGTTAGAAAGTGCTTTTACTTCCAGGAAGCTGGGCGCTGTTCCCTATTTGTTTTTTATTAGGCCTGTTTAACAGGGGCTTTAGCTTGTATAAGAGCAGTGTGAACAGCAAGCTTTTAACCACTTCAAGTACAGACACTTTTACCCCCTTCCTGCCCAGGCCAATTTTCAGCTTTCAGTGATATCACACTTTGAATGACAATTGCGCGGTCATGCAACACTGCACCCATATGAATTTTTTTGCATTTTTTTAGACAGATAAAGCTTTATTTTGGTGGTATTTATTCACCACTGGGATTTTTTTTTTTTTTTGCTATGTAAATGAAATGTCCAAAAATTTTGAAAAAAAGTGTTTTTTCTTATAAAATTTTGCAAATAAATAATATTTAATCATAAATCTTGGCCAAAATTTATTCCGTTATCTTTTTAGTAAAAAAAAAATAAATAACCCAAATTAGTTTATAACCAAAAATTATAATTTTTAAATTTTTTTACATTTTTATTTTTTTACATTATTATGTTTTTTGGGGGTTTTTTACATACGGTCACCCTAGCAGTACAGTGTCACCATGGTGACACTGTACTACTTGTGGGGGGTGATAAAGATTGAAGATTTTTTTTTTTTTTACACAGATTGCTTTTACACCCATAAAGGCTGTAAAAGCAATAATTTTTCCTTCTCTCTGGCTGCATTCTTACAGCCATTGAGAACTACTGTGTGAGCTGTGATTGGTCACAGCTTGTCACATGGTACAAGGCTGTTGTGAATGGCCTTGTACCATGTGACCTCTGTGATCATTCAGAGATTTCACACATAGTAAGCAATGATGTCAGAAGTGACATCTTGCTTACTACTCTGCATGTGATCACTGATTGGTCAATTAGTGATCACATGATCGGGACCTCGCATAGAGGTCCCGTACGACGATCGGGTTTCCACTGTGTCCAGAGGACACAGCGGGCACCAGATCTCGGTGCTGCGCACTCCCAGGGAGCATGCACAAGCAGGGGCAGGGAGGCCATTTATAAACGGCCACCCGACCCTGCACTGCCACCGTCCGGCCATTTATATACAATGGTCGGACGGGAGGTAGTTAAAAAGCATTTGCAGAGCTTTCGGTACCATTCAGCTCCAGTTTGTAAATACTGATTACAGATCCTAATACTTAAAGAGAGTTTGCAAAGCACTGATGATTGCTGGGAGTTGGAGGGGTTATAAGAGGTTCCGAACAGCTTTTTTTTTTTTTGTCAGTCTCCAATTACCTGATGTTACCTGCCTATAACCCAGTGTCCTGTTAATCTGTCCTGTACTGTAGGATCAAGCAACTGAAATATGTAAAATAACAGAGCTACAAACATACCTTTAGATAGTGAAGCGACTTTTCAAGCTCATCCTTGGTGCATGAGCAGACAAGGTGAGAAAAGACGTATTTGAAGTTATTGATCAGGATTTCTCTGCGGTTTACACTGAGCTGTTTGGCAATCGTTCTGATTAAAGCAGAGGCTGCCTGGCTGGCTTTGGCTGCCAGATATGGAAGCAAAAGTTGCAATGATTTCTGCATAAATGAAGAACACATCAGAAATCAAATACAAGCCTCAGTGTCCTGGCATAAAGTGAAACAGAATCAACAGGGAAATGCCATCAAGGAAAGAGGAAGCACTTACATTTAAAAATCGGTTCAAGTCAGGGAAGTCAAATACATTGGCTATTTCAGATAATACATCAAGAGCTGCTTCCCTGTGATGTGCAGCCTCCTGCTTCTGCATCTCACTGCTACTACCTGGTGTGCTGTTCAGAACAATTTGCTGGTTTGTGTGCAGTGACTCCACAAGTAACTAAGGAACATAAAAAAAAAAAAAAAACAAGACTCAATAATGTGATAATCTTCCACTCATGTCTAATTGCATGAATAAACCCTAATTTATTAGAAAAAAGACATTTGATCAGAATGTCAAACAGTATTTGTCAAACCAATGGCTAACAATTTATACATAGTACACAAAAAATAACTTACTTTGCAAACAGGTTTCTTATACTGGCTGAAAAAGTCCTGTAGCCGGACCAACTTTGCTGCTGCTAATGATCGGATTTCTGTGTAAGAAGCACCAGCCACAGATGGGGATTTGGAAAGCAGGCAATGTAACAAGTGTAGTAATGCAAATGGTACCAGGTTTCCTTTAGCAGCTCTGCAAATAATAACCAATACATACATTTATTATGTGCATTCTCAATAAATTCTATACATTACACAGAGAATCCCATACTGTATACAGCTTTTGCACACTAGAACAAGAACATTCTCTGATGTGTCACAATTCTGTCATAAATGGAAGACATGAAAGAAAATGGAACAGAAGGGAAAGAAAATGTATTCTGTGTAATATATTCCATTCGCACATCACTGTTAGGCTGAAATAGTGCCAAGAGAAATGAAAAAGAAAAATTATGGAAGATACATTTTTCTCTTTTCAGCACAACAGTGTCCACTAGGCTCTGTCAGACAGCAGAGCATTTACTCTGCATGTGTACAGAAGATCTCCAAACATATGCAATAGCTTACCTTCCAATATCACCCGTTGTCAGAATCAGCGTGTCTTTTAACTCGTTATTCCTAGACATCTTAGCCTTTGTATAGGCTTCCTTTATCCTTGCAACCAATAGCTGCAGCGCAAAAAAGGGACAAAACCAGTGATCAATGTATTTTCTCTACATTTTGGGAGAACAATTTAAACAACATGTGCACCTCTATGTTGGATTAAAATATAGGAAGTACTTGCATGTTTTAACTCTCTTTGGAGACCTTAGTTGGGGTTGGTGAAGGCATAATGTGCAGGCACATGCATTCAATAGCCTAAATTAAAAGTTTTAAGAAACAACTTCCTGCACTCAGAATGGGGCCCTCTCCCTATAGCTGCTGACACTTAACCTCCTACCAATGTGAGTCAAATCAATAAATAAATAGCGCTGCACTATTTATTTATAAATTAAAAGTTTGGCGCCAAAACCGATACCGAAAATTCAGAATGCATGTGGCTGAAAAACAAAAATGTATGTGTATGTGGGGGTGAGAAGGCTCAAATTTTTTTTAAGCTTTACTTTAATGTGTATTTATTTTTTTACCTCATGATTTTATTGCTACCACGTAGGGGACCAATAGTCCCCTATGTGATAGCATATGAGGGACAGGTCCTCTTTGTAGGGGGGAGAGGGGGTGGGGGAGCAGTGTGTGCAAAGAGGGGACAGGAAAGGAGCAGTGTATATAGTGAGGAATACAAGAAGGTGGTCACTGCCCCAACTGGCTTTTACAGCAAGGAACATGGACAGGCATTGCATATCAAAAAAAGAAAAGAAAATACCCAGTTCAACTTGCCAGCCAGCTAGCCAACAACCAAATTAACCTGTCTAACAATGTGCATTTAAAAACAGGGGTTTAGTTAGCACACATTTGCAAATACATACGTAAGCCACAGAGCCACATGTTTGTAGAGCTAGGACCACAGAATATTGGGGGTGCCGTGACGTGGCTCTGTGGCTTACGTATGTATTTGCAAATTAAAGGAACACTTTGAAAACACATCAGATCTCAATGGGGAAATATATCATGCTGGATATCTATACTGATATGGACTGGGTAATGTGTTAGGAACGTAAGGATGTAAGGATGCCCCATCATTTGATGGAAATGAAAATTATCAACCCACAGAGGACTGAATTCAAAGGCACCCTTTCACATCAAAGTGAAAATTGATGCAGTAGGCTAGTCCATTTTGCTGAAATTTCATTGCAGCAACTCAAAATGGTACTCAGCAGTTTGTATGCCCCCATGTACTTGTATGCATGCCTGACAATGTCGAAGCATAATCCTAATGAGATAACGGATAGTGTTCTGGAGTATTTCCTCCCAGATCTGGGCATCATTAAGCTCCTGGACAGTCTGAGGTGCAACCTGGTGGCATCAGATAAACAGAAACATGATATCCCAGAGGTGTTCTATTGGATTTAGGTCAGGCGAGTGTGGGGGACATTCAATGGTATCAGTTCCTTCATCCACCAGGAATTGGCTGCATACTCTCGCCACATGAGGCCGGGCATTGTCGTGCACTAGGAGGAACCCACTGCACCAGTGTAGGGTCTGACAATGGGTCCAAGGATTTCATCCCCATACCTAATGGCAGTCAGGGTGTCACTGTCTAGCCTGTAGAGGTTTGTGCATCCCTCCATGGATATGCCTCCCCAGACCATCACTGACCCACCCCCAAAACAGTCATGCTGAGTGATGTTACAAGCAGCATAACATTCTCCACGGCTTCTCCAGACCCTTTCACGTCTGTCACATGTGCTCAGGGTGAACCTACTCTCATCTGTGAAAAGTGCAGGGCGCCAGTGGCGAACCTGCCAATTTTGGTGTTCAATTACAAATGCCAATCAAGCTCTATGGTGCCGGGCAGTGAGCACAGGACCCACTAGAGGATGTCAGGCCCTCAGGCCACCCTCATGAAGTCTGTTCCTGATTGCTCAGAGACATTCACACCAGTGGCCTGCTGGAGGTCATTTTGTAGGGCTGTGGCAGTGCTCATCCTGTTCCTCCTTGCACAAAGAGCAGATACCGGTCCTGCTGATGGGTGAAGGACCTTCTACAGCCCTGTCCAGCTCTCCTAGAGTAACTGCCTGTCTCCTGGAATCTCCTCCATGTTCTTGAGACTGTGCTGGGAGATACAGCAAACCTTCTGGCAATGGCACGTATTGATGTGCCATCCTGGAAGAGTTGGACTGCCTGTGCGACCTCTGTAGAGTCCAGGTATCACCTCATGCTTCCAGTAGTGACACTGACCCAAGCCAAAAGCAAAACTAGTGAAAAAAAGTTAGACAAGGTAAGTAGGGAAAACACCTCTAAAACCATTCCTGTTTTGGGGATCATCTCATTATTGCCCATCTAGTGTACCTGTTGTTGATTTCATTACCACCAAAGCACCTGAAACTGATTAACAACCCCCTCTGCTACTTAACTGACCAGATCAATATCCCAAGAGTTTAAACTGACTTGATGCTATACTCTGATTAAAAAGTGTTTCTTTAATTTTTTGAGCAGTGTATGTTATGAAAACCTGACTACATTAGGAGATACTTTTATTTTTGGAATGCCCATGTTCTATTATAATATGAAACAAAGGAAAAGCTTAATTCTTAGCTCAATATTTGTAGTTTTAAAATTGCACACATCTGTACCTCATTCAGATATCCTTCTTCAAAGTTTGCTGAATCCAAAATATATCTGATATTCCCGCTGAAAGCTATTCTAACATCTTTATCAGGATCTTCCATCAGGTTGAGTAATGCCTCAATCATGGCTCTTAAATCCATTTCATCTTTTTCAACATTCAGATATTTAAACAACTCAGGAATGTTCCTGATGAAAGCTATATAAATAAACAAAAATACATTGATATAGCAACATTGATGATGTTAGTGGGTGGTGTCCCACTCTCCTTAAATTTCCTGATTTGTAACAATTACAATTTGATTATCAAAGTATTAATTCATCACTTAATTTAATGATCTAATGTGGGTATATTAGAAAAACCACATTTAAAGCATTGTGATTATTGTACATCACAGCCATGTGGGATGAGAAGCACAAAATACACATAATACTGTAATACAAAACTGTAATCAAATAAACTAGAAGGTAGCAGGAAGAAGACTCACCCATTTTCACAGAGCTTGGCATGTTCTGGTCCAACAGTAAAAGGAAAGGTTTGAAAACAGAAGCACCAATAACAGAAGGTGCAGGGGGAGGTAAAATAGTCACCCTTAAGTTACTAGATAGCAAATTGCCTTCTGCTTCCATAGCTGAGGTGTGCACATGATGGTCAATTGAAAGGCCAAAAACGAACTTGCTCATTGCATCGGCAAACTCCTTTCTTACCAGCTCAGAGTCATCATTCAAGTGGTCACTAGAAGAAAAACCTAGTAATGAAAATGTGCAATAAAATGGCGATCGTACAAGTACTAATCTTGTATATAATCCGTAAATCATTATAAAAAGTTTAATTTGTTGATCACTGACTATAACCAATGAAAAGGCAGAAGGCAATATACATACAAAACAAAGTTTATTGCTTATATAGGTGTGGGTTGAACTAGATGGACTTTTTTTTTTTTTTAAAGAAAACTAACCATGTAACAAAGAATTGCTATTAATGGTACATACAGCAGAGACTTGGGTATTGGACTGAAGGCCTCTTCATTTACATGGCGCTTTAATAGAGGAAAACCTTTCACACACTGGGCACGGACAATCTCATGTGGACTTTCCAACAGCTGCTGGTAAATGGTTATTCTCCATTCAGGCACTGTTGTTATGGGAAATAACGAAAGAAGAAAAAACAAGCTGGGACTGAATTTTAGGAGCTGCAAAAAAGAAAAAGTAAAAAACATTTTTGCATGAGAAGATGAAGATAATAATAATAATCAAAATACAAAAAACAACTACTTGTATGGAATTATGTCAGTTAACGGTTACTTGCATTAATGATACAGTTGCTTGATCCACAATTGTCAACCTCTAAACAGGAGCTTCAAATACAAAAGATGATTCTCTGGTTTTAAGTGATAGGTAGTACTGCAGTGTTGTTGCCTAACCCTAAGCTCTCACCCAGCATCTAATAGTGACCTTGATGGAGCCCAACACCTAAGCTCCTAAACAAATACCCTAGAAATATGAACACCTAGCCCCTCTTAGCAATAAACCCGTAATGCTTGGTGCTTAACGCCTAACTTACAAACCCAACACTTCCTAAAAGACTCTTAAACATCTACCCTCATCATGCAAGCTAGCACTAAGTCTAATTAACCACTTCAACTGTATATACATCTTGTCCAGTAAAAGAAGCCAAGGAACCTCTGAAACAGTGCTGACACCATATCTTCACAGTGCCAATTTCGTGGTACTAAAAGAACCTGCATTGCAAAGAAACAGAATAGCTGCTATTCCCTCAACTGGCTCTAGTTTTTTTTTTTAGTAATAATGGAATGAGAGGTAAAGCTATCAAAAAGGTCCAAATATTCATAATAATAGACAGATATGAACATCCCTACACAGAATAATGGGGGCACATCTCTAGCATGTTTAAACCCCCAATTCCATGAAAAAAATCCCATGCAGTGTTCCCAATTGCCCCCTCACCTCCCACACAAACTGCAAGGGTTAATTGTTCGCTGTGTCTGGGGGATTGAAAAAGAGGCTGTTAAACTTAACTGATACCCAACTCTGGCCAACGCCAGCACCCCGAATCTCAAGTCTGTGGGAGGAGCCTCAATGTCACTGAGCGAAATACAGGGACATTATTCTTGAAATGTAAGTTTTTGGAGGCTGGTATATGACTAAGCTGGTTGGAGCTTACAGAGGGGTTGCAGGGGATTGGTCACAATAATGGAGGGAGCAATGATGGAGGTTGTAAACCCTTACACATGTTTTGTGAATTGAATGGCCTCAGGTGATACACAGAGATGAAACAAATCCTCCTACATAAGTTGCACCTGTTTATGTGCAGTCTTCTCTTCTCTACATCCATTCAAAGGGCTGAATTTATAAAGCTGACAGTTCAGAAAAAAGTGGGCAGAGAGATGACATTACTCACTACAGAACTCAGTGAGGAGAGCTCTGAGAGCTGATTGGAGGGAGGAGACATATCCCCTTTACATAGTTCACAGGAACAGAGCTGAGGCTGTCAATCTGCTGGAGGTCCCTCCCTTGTCACTATTTTTCTCCTGGTGTCAGGAAAACCTGTCAGAAGTGAGTCATGCTGATAACACAGGAATGAAGCAGCAGACAAAAATTAAACTCTGTGATCTTGAGACAAGTACACACTACAGAAGGATATGCATTGTGCATATTTTATGTCTGAGGTTTACAATCACTTTAATCCTGTGCCAGTAGCCATAACAAGCAATTGACCCTTGCAGTGCCGGGGGAGGGGTGATCTAAAAGGATGTTTTTTTTTGTTTTCATGGAGTTGGTATTAACTTTGTATTTAGGGACTAGAAGAGGTAAAAGACAGACAGCATAATTCAGATTAATCTACTTGAGGCTCAACATTTTGACAGCTTTGCATTTTTAACTAGTAAATCTTTGCAAATGCTACAATACATGCTTTCAATTAATATACAAACTCTACAACAAAACATGACATTTACTTACAGAAACTCTGAGAAATCTTGAGGCTTAGTGTAATAAGTTTGTGGTCAAATGCTGCCACCTTCAGAGAAGAATGATTTGAAATATCATGAAGCCAAGGCAAGGACATCAGCGCACATAAATCTACAAGTATCTGATCAGGTAACTGGCTTTTCACTGGAAAAGGAAAATATTTAAAGTATCAGAAAAGTGAATTAGCTTTGAAAGTGGTAGCCAAGAGGATTCTACAAAGGATGTAAAAAGTCTACACACCCCTGTAAACATGTCAGGTTTCTGTGATATAAAAAAAGGAGACAAAGATAAATCATTTCAGAACTTTTTCCACCTTTAATGTAACCTATAAACTGCAAAAACGTAACTGAAAAACAAACTGAAATCTTTTAGGGGGGAAGTAAACATAAAAAACTAAAATAATGTGGTTGCATAAGTGTGCACACCCTCTTATAACTGAGCATGTAGCTGTGTTCAGAATTAAGCAATCATATTCAAAATCATGTTAAATAGGAGTCATTACACACCTGCCATCATTTAAAGTGCCTCTGATTAACCCCCAAATAAAGTTCAGCTGTTCTAGTACGTCTTTCCTGACATTTTCTTAGTCGCATCCTACAGCAAAAGCCATGGTCCACAGAGAGCTTCCAAAGCATCAGAGGGATCTCATTGTTAAAAGGTATCAGTCAGGAGAAGGGTACAAAAGAATTTCCAAGGTATTAGATACAGTATACCATGGAACACAGTGAAGACAGTCATCATCAAGTGGAGAAAATATTGAGCAACAGTGACATTACCAAGAACTGGACATCTCTCCAAAACTGACAAAAAAAAAAAAAAAGAGAAGAAAGCTGGTCTGGGAGGCTGCCAAGAGGCCTACATCAACATTAAAAGGAGCTGCAGGAATATCTGGCAAGTACTGGCTGTGTGGTACATGTGACAACAATCTCCTGTATTCTTCATATGTCTGGGCTATGGGGTATTTTATGAAGAAAAACATCCAAGCCTGGCTACATTTTGCAAAAACACATCTCCTAAACTAAACAAGTCTCCCAAAGCATGTGGGAAAATGTGTAATGGTCTGATGAAACCAAGGTTGAACTTTTTGGCCATAATTCCAGAAGATATGTTTGGTGCAAAAATAACACTGCACATCACCAAAAGAACACCATACCCACAGTGAAGCATGGTGGTGGCAGCATCATGCTTTGGGTTGTTTTTCTTCAGCTGGAACTGGGGCCTTAGTCAAGGTAGAGGGAATTATGAACAGTTCCAAATACCAGTCAATATTGGCACAAAACCTTCAGGCTTCTGCTAGAAAGCTGAATATGAAGAGAAACTTCATCTTTCAGCATGACAACAACCCAAAGCATACATCCAAATCAACAAACGAATGGCTTCACCAGAAAATAAAGTTTTGAAGTGGCCCAGCCAGAACCCAGACCTCAATCTGATCGGAAATCTGTGGGGTGATCTGAAGAGGGCTGTGCACAGGAGATGTCCTCGCAATCTGAAAGATTTGGAGTGTTTTTGCAAGGAAGATTGGGGAAATATTGCCAAATCAAGATGTGCCGTGCTAATAGACTCATACCCAAAAATACTGAGTAGTGTAATAAAATCAAAAGGTGCTTCAACAAAGTATTAGTTTAAGGGTGTGCACACTTATGCAACCATATTATTTTAGTTTTTTTATTTTTACTTCACTCCACCTAAAAGATTTCAGTTTGTTGTTCAACGGAGTTGTACAGTTCATAGGTTACATTAAAAGGTGGAAAAAGTTCTGAAATGATTTAACTGTCTCACTTTTTTACATCATAGAAGCCTGACATTAAAACAGGGGTGTGTAGACTTAAAGTTCCTTAAAGGCAGGGACTGATTTGAATGTACAGTATATGTTAAGCACTGTGCAAATTGCTGATGCTCTGTACATACCTGTAATAAATGAGTATAAAAAAAACAACAACTATAGTAAACAGGAAAAATTAGGTAGAAAGTAATATCTCCAGCTGGTGCATTAAATGGAGCAAGGCCCGGAAGACTGTGACCATTAGAATAGCCTTATTGAAGACATCGACTTTCTAGCACAGGCATTAAAAAGCAAATGACAGAACAGAAGCAGAGGGTCAACAAGGGATAGTAAGTGCAAATACATAGGTATGTAGTATACCTAAAATTGTGGAGATGGGAAATCACAAGCAAATGAGTGATAAGCTAAGGAAGA